ATATATATATATATATACTAAAAGAATACAATCTATACATAATCAGCGAGAAGAATTACGTGCAATAACAATAAATATACGTTTCGACGCGATAACTTTTAACTACCATAGGAGATATGTATTTGCTCAAATCGTTGTTTCTTTTATATATTTTAACGAAGTTTTTTATATGGACGAGAATTATTACAATAAATATACTAAATTATATTTTTGCTAATGCTCTATATGCAAGAATAAAATCCACGTGCGTACACATACACGAAAGAAAGACACATACATACATATACAAAAGGAATAACGTACATATGCATACAGACATTGACAAGTACGATGACGACAGTTTCACACGCGACGGACCCGTGTAGCTCTTTAGAAATTGTACATTATAGCGCGTTTCTTTTATTTTGTCCCTCTTAATCTCCAAGATTCATACAACGTCAAACGTTTATTTATTTAGAGATATAGTACCCGTTTTGCCTTATTGTATTCACGTAATGATTAAGATGTAAATGGTGGTAGGGCGATGACGTCAAACTGCGCTTACAATAGCGAGAAAAAGTGTGCGTGGCAAACGAATCGGTTCGTAAGACGAGCAGTATTTTTTAGATTTACATACACAAAGAAACACACACACACACACACACACACACACACACACACACACACAAAGTATATACACGCATATACAAACATTGGTCTGAATTTACTGCTGATAAGATTTACTGCATATAAAGTTATAATTGTATATACATGTATACATAACACTTGACACGCCTAAATAACACGTTTCTACACGTGCGTTCGCGCTCCCGAGTTTGTTTTTGTCGAAAAAAAAATAGGAGAAGAATATTAGAAATTGTAGCATTTCAAAATTTGTCAATGTTCAACTGTATAATGTTTTTTATTTAATTAATGAGAATGATCAGAGAGATGACGGTGAAAGAAGGAAATCCCTTCGCATTTTCTGCGGCTGATTACATAAGTCCGTTACTATACTTGTAATCAGTCGTAATACAAAATTACCAATAATAATTAGATGCTGTAATCATATGCGATATTCTTGCTTCTACGTTACGCAGAAAGGTAATTGTAGATTGAAGTTTATTTACGTGAGTATTATATTTATTCGCGATTAACGCACTAACTTTCGACGTACATATAATATATACAATGATAACGTGATGTAAGGAAAAATTTCTTTCTGTTTGATATGCTTAACAAACGCAGCTCTCATTCGGTAACTTCTTCTTATCTCGAATAAACAAATTATTTTTTTCTTATCTCGAATAAACAAATTATTTGTTATATAATAAACTCGGGCGCGCTAACACTAATAGTGTTTTTCATTGGCAAAATTGGTGCATTCAGAACACTTTAAAGCTGTTGTACACAAATCAACGTAAAGATGTTTAATGAAAATATAAAAAAATAATTTAAACCGCGAAATCCTAAGTATATTTTATTATGCTATTTGATAAATTTGTATACGTTAGCATTTTATCAATTGAGATATCTCACTTATAGAATTAGATTAGTGTACAATGATTTTGATGTGCGGTGAGTGCATACCAATTCTGTCAATAAAAACCGCTATATATAACCGAGTTAGCGGCTTTTACTTAAACAAGACCACTGTACATAAACGCTTAAGCATTTATTTATGTCAGCTTCTACAAATGCCCCGTAGTATTTTATTATTTTAGTATCTTAGTCGCGAGGTTCACACGCTATTAATGCGGTAACTACGAGCATTACGCATTAATTATTTCGTGCAGCATGTTCATTCGATGATAAGAATGGAAGAATGGATGGAAGAAAAGAGTTAAAAGAAAATAGCGATAAATGTGCTGACAGATTCTTTCAGCGAAGGATTTAACTGCACACATGGATTAGAAGTTAGAGAGAAAGGTGATAAAATCGACGATAAGGCAATTTTTTTGTGATATTTCAAGATTTTTTATCCATCGGTATATCTCACTTCCTTAAAACCGATCGACTTTACGGTATGTGTCCATCCCATCTCACCCGATCTCCCTTCGACTATATTTTTTTGTTTTTCCATCGCGAGTCTGTCGTGTATTATCTTACGATTAACTGTCATATCATGTATAGTAGAAATTATTAATGGTGAAAAGAGGAAAAACAGTACATTGTTTCTGTTAAAATAAATATTGTTGAAAAATAACAGCTGTGTTGCACTCAATTTTACCGATTATTATTCTCACAAATATTATCTCACAAATATATGCGGAGTTAAAAGATCTTTTTTGATAACATATCAGTCGATGATTTATCGATGGATTTGATAAAGCGATAAAAACGAAAGCATCGTACTCTCTGGAATTTGATTACATAAATTGGATAAATACCCGAATAATGACATTGATTTACGCAAATGGTTATTATATTTTATTCATAACAAATTAAAGTACAATCAATTCATATTTTAAATAGTTGATCAGATAATTTATCTAAACGTAATAGAATTCTTTTCAACTACTTAAACTATATATTTTATTCTATTAAACTACATATTTTATGTAACACTTTTTAGATTAATATATGCTTATAATAAGTAATTTTTAATTCCAATCTTCAACATCTACATCCCACCTTTGCCTGCAAAGAAATTGATTATATTAAAATTTAAAAGTTATATTATAATAAATAATTAAGATGTATTATTACATAAAATGATTTAATTCTTTCAAACATGGCATTAGTCATTATATCATTAACATCCAAATTAATAATTTATTGTTTAAAAAAAATCTTATTACCAATAAACATTGTTCAGCTACAATAAAATATTTCAAAAATTATAAAATTAAAATTAAGAAAGAAATTTATATTAGGTGTACAACTTTGCTTCCGCCGTTTTTCTATAGATGGCTTTAGCGGTAAGTGGTGGTCGAAATAAATAGATCATAGACGTCATACAATAAACTTGGGCATCTGTCAACATAACCCCATAGAAACATTAGTCGATTTGTGTCTGCATCATAAAGTTATTCTCGATTGAAAATATCAGTTTACGAGCCAAATTCTCGTCATTTGCGGGAGGTTTTAATTTTTTGCTTCAATATGAAGAAATCTGCGGCTGAGGCTCATCGAATGCTCTCAAATACTTATGGTGAGGCCGCTATTAGTGAAAGAACGCTTCAAGAACGGTGATTTTGACGTCCAAGGTCATGCTCTGTATTTGGTGGGACCAGCTCGGCGTAGTGTATTATGAATTGTTAAAACCGACTGAAATAATCACAGGCGATCGGTATCGAATGCAATTGATGCGTTTGAGCCGAGCATTAAAAGACAAACGGCCGCAATACAACGAGAGGCACGATAAAGTGATTTTGCAGGATGACAATGCTCGACCCCATGTTGCGAAAATGGTCAAGACATACTTGGAAACGTTGAAATGGGAAATCCTACTCCACCCGCCATATTCTCCAGACGTTGCTCCCTCTGACTATCACTTGTTTCGATCAATGGCACACGGCCTGTCTGACCAGCACTTCCGGTCTTATGAAGAAGTAAACAATTGGATCGATTCGTGGATAGCCTCAAAAGATGACCAGTTTTTTCGACGCGGGATTCGTATGCTACCCGAAAGATGGGAGAAAGTAATGGCCAGCGATGGACAATACTTTGAATCATAAATGTATAACCAGTTTTTTACAATAAAGCCTCGA